GGCGCCAGCATCGGCCGGTTGGAGGGTAGAGGGAAGGGGAGCTCCTCAAACCCCAAAGCATCTCCAAGCACCTGATTCTCAGAGCCGCAGCCCCCGCCCCCCCTCCAGCAGTGAGGGGGGCATTGCCGGAAAAGGCGAGCGCCGCTCAGAAAGGCCCAGCCGCGGGAGCAGCCCTGCCGGTGCCGGGGAGCAGCGGGGGCCCGGACGCAGACGAGCAGCCCGAGAGGCCCGGCAGGACTGCCCCAGCCCGCTCGCCTCTCAGGAGCCGGAACAGCTCCCGGGCTGCAGGGAGGAGGCCGAGAGAACTGGGCGGGTGAGAGAGAGAGAGATGGCTTGGGATGGTGTCTGGGACGCCATGGAGAACCTGAGGAGGAGGAGAGGAGGAAAAGATGATGCCACTTTCCGGGGATGGAAAGTTCTCACCTCTCTATCGCACTTCAGGCCCCTTCCCGGAGTGGGCCGGTGTGGGTGCCTGGGGTGAGTAACAGCAGTCCTCTCACCCCATGACTGACTTTCAGCCCCAGCGGGGGGAGGCGGAGGGGGACCCAAGGCCCTATCTAGGTCACCCCAGTGGGTCACCCGCCCCTGCGGCACACCGCATGGTTTCCCCTGCCTGCTGTTGCCTGTAGTTTATTTCTTCACTCTACTACTCATTTCCCCTTTTGATCAGGATTTTTTCTCTTAGCCAACATCATAGATCAAACAAAACACTTTAAAGTCCCTGGATGTCAAGGTGGCAGTGCCTCCCTTGGACCTGGCATGGCCCTCAGAGTGGGCACACGGGCTAGAGACATGCTTGCCTATGAGTTTACAGTCAGCTCAGTATCTGTGCCGAGTTTTAGGTTGAAGCATTAGGAAAGGACCAGTTGAGATATTACTAACATGTACCGGTTCCAGGGACTAGGTCAGTTCAGCGAAGCAGTTGCCTCATTTTAGGAGGCCGTGATGCGGTGGCTCCCAAAATGACTGGTAGGCCTGTGGTGCAGATAAGGCGCCTCTCCACAGAAACAAAAGAAAACAGTGTGTAAGACTGGAGCTGCCCATCAGCCCTCCCTGAGCCCTGGAGGCAGCCAGTCCAGAAGGTTTCTAGATGCCTGCTTGTCGCTTCCGATGGCAGGAGCGGCGCAGGATGACGGTTGCCCTGCTCTGCAGCTTGAGTGTCTCTGGGGATCTTGCTTCTGCAGGCACAAAGCCTGTCCGTGGGTGTGCTGCTGGGATCTCTCTGACATTTATGTCAAGCCGTCCCCTTTAGCGTGTATGACTTTGGCACCGGGCAGTTTTAGTTCTCCAGGATTACAAATCAAAGGATGCGAGAAAGACTGGAAGTGTCAGGTGTTCGAGGAAACTAGAAGAATTCAGGATCTGGTCCAGTTTACCTGTATGAACAAAGAACCGGTTTAACTCAGTGGTGAGAGCGCTGGCCTGAGGACTGAAGGGTCCAGGGTCCGATAGCGGTCAAAGGCACAGGTGAGGATTAACAGTAACGACAAAAAAAATAAAAAATAATAATGAACAGCACTGGAATCTAATATCCAGAAAGGCGTGTTAAACAATTCTGCTCTCTAAAATAACCCTCATTGTTACCAAATATAGCCAAGACCACTTTGTTTGTGAAATAAATCTAGTTTCAATAAAGTTGGCTTGTTATTTACATAGGAACAGCAAGAATGGTAAGTAACCATATAGGCTTTTAAAAATCTGCTTGACCCAGCTGGTGTGCCTCAGTGGTCACAGTTCAATTTCTGGTTGTGGGCTTGATCCCCATGGGGGCCGTGCAGGAGGCAGCCAGTCAACGATTCTCTCTCATCATTGATGTTTCCATCTCTCTCCCCCTCTCCCTTTCTCTCTAAAATCAATAAAAAAATTTTTAAAAAACAATCTGCTTTGCTGGAATTTGTCATAAGGAATCTTCATAAGGAACTTTAAAGGCCCCTGAGGCCAGAACAGCCACGGCAGGGACTCGCCATCAGACACCGCCTGCAGTACCATAGATGTGGGGAGTTCCTCTCTTCTCGAGGTCCCCCGAGAAACTGAGGGCCTGCACCTGCAGGAAGTGACCTCTTCACTCATCTGGTAAGGCTTCTGAGACGCTCCGAGCAGAGGCTGGCCGGCGGTGCCAACTGTTTCCTTAGCTTCCCGAAGCCACTCCTATCCCTTGGAGCTATCTGCTCCTATCTGAATCTATGCACGTCTCCCTCAAGTAGGACATTCCACTGAAAGCCTTGGTAACAACCACTTTCCAAATGTGTCCTCTGACAAGGAGAACAGGTTTTTATTAACGTACGCAAATAGCAATGTTGCCATGAAAATAAGAACTCTCACTGTGATTTCTGAATCCTGGAGGAATCAAGTAGGTAGAAAAAGGTCACTGTTTCAATTCTGCTTACAAAGGTATAATTGCTCTAATTCACAGGTTGCTAAAGAAAAAATGTTTATGTCTAGAAAAACAAAAAAATAAATGCTGGGGTCCGACCCCAGCAGGTCCAGGGGTCCCCAAAGGTGTGGACAGAGTCAGCGAAGAAGGAATGACACGGAGACAGCGTTCAGTTGATCAGCAGCCTAGCCAGGATCTCCAGCCAAGTTCTGGTCTGGATCTCCAGCCAGGTTCTGTGTCCATGTTCTCTTGCTAGGTCCTCCAGCCAGGTTCTCCAGCCATGTTCCCTCGCTAGGTTCTCCAAACAGGTTCTGTCCAGGTTCTCCAGCCAGGTTCGGTCGCCAGGTTCTGTAGCCAGGTTCTGTGGCCAGGTTCTCTGGCTAGGTTCTGTCTCTAGGTTCTGTTTTCAGTTTCTGTCC